AATTTAAAAAGAAAATTACTCAAAAGATGCCTTAATGGCAGCGTTCTCAATGTGTCCGGATTTTTTAGTGTTCAACCTTTAAGTGTCAGATTTTACGCTGGTGGCTCTTTCGTAGTAACGTTTGAGTACTTCTTAATTCTACAATGTCGTCTACAAACCATATTTCTATGTTTGTTCTACAAGTTAGCTACTATTGGCATCGTTTTTTGAACGTAACCGTTAGCAGAGTCTGTGCCGTAGAGAATACATCCGCTTTCCTTTCTTTATAGAGCAATAGTATCTGTTACCCCGAAAGTTGCCTCCTGCTTTATTCAATAGCCCATTAAATACTATGTAGATGGAACCGTGCAACGTGCAATCTCAAACAAGAGAGAACTGAACACGATTGATATGTTGTGTACAGTATAAACAAACATAATAATTGGAAAAACAGAATTCAACAAAAGGGTCCTTTCGATAGTGACAATAATTTATGAATAAAATCAATTAGAATCTCAGTAGAAGGAAAACAGAAGTTAGAATTCATCTATAGATAGGGCCGAACCTAGTGTGGATATTAGGGACTAGAGTGTGAATGTTTGATTAGCAGAGCGAGTGGAAATCGTTTTTATACAAGTCAAATCATTTATACGAAATGATACTTATTGTTAGAATCAAACCTTAGTAAATAATAAACAGAAACAGTACTTGATTATCAGCGCTTATGTATAGTTCAATTATTTATTTGTATCAAAGAAACCACAATCGAGCGTCTATATAGTGTAATGTAAGGGATTTAAAAGAAAACAACAACAAGCTTAAGGAATAAGAAATGGTAGCGAACTTTTTTTACTAGCCGAGTGTAATAGAATCGTAGTTTCTAAGAAGAAAGAAAAACTGATCAACAAGTAAATAAGCATTTTATTACAATGAGTAGCAACCAACAACCAGTTGTTTCGAATTCTATTAGCTTTTTTGAACAAGTGTAACAAACCCAATTAACAAGTTCAACTTGACATATCCTTAGGCCGATTTGTTTCACTTTCCATTCAAAAACAAGTACAAAATTTAATCCGTATCATTTTACTTGAAAACAAAAACAAACTTTCGGGACTATCGAACCATATCCTCTTGACGAGTAGATTTTATTCGGTTTTCTAGAAACTCACTGACACACTGAAACAATTTTTATCCGTGTAATCGTTACTGTAGCTGAACAAACCTGAATACATAGAAGTAGCAGCAGTCAAAGTGGAAGGCCGAAAAACGAAAACGACAATAAATAGATGTAAATTTAGCAGATGATATTAAAAACGACACTGTCATATCATGACAATAACTAGCGTTTAAAATTACCAACTAAGCGAATGAGCCGGTCGGTGACGTGCAGTGTGTTGCGTAATGTATATAGTGTACTGAAGCGATTGATCATATGATTAGTAGTAGAGCCGTTGTACTTTATCGACGGTCGGAAGAAGGAAAAAAAGGGAATTTTTTTACAACCTAGCATCAAATACTTTGAATAAGCAAACAAACAGAAGAATCAAAATAATTCAAAAACGAGAAAGTCATTTGAACGCTTTAACGTCGCTAGATTAATTTTTTGCTAGAAAAAAAAAAATAACCAACTAACAAAACAGCATAATCTTTAGCTTTGCTAAAACAAATTTAAGCCAACTCAAATTGAGATGATGTTAGAGAAAAAACAAACCTATATCGAAGAAAAAAAATGTTAAACGAACAAAGTAGAACGCATTAAAAACTGTTTCCAAACTTCTGATTTTATCTTTAAAAAAAATACAATGGAAAACAAAACTATCTAACGAAATCAAATCTAAAAAAAAACAAACCCGCAAGCAAGTTCTTGTTGATCTTTTTCAAATTTTATTCCCGGGGACAAATAATGATAAGAAAACCAAAAGCGTCGTAATTCCTGAATCGAAAATCGGAAATCATTAGAAAGTTACACTCAGTATTTTTTCGCTATTTAGCAGCTATCTGAGACAATAAGTACTATTACTAAATCAGCGACAGATCGGTTGATGAAACCCGAAGGGAGGTGCGGCCATTTAGCCATTGTAAATTTACTATTTAGGACATTTTCAGTTACTTTGCCACTGATGCAATTGGTAGGATGTTTGAAGGTAATTATTCGATGATTTATTTATGTACAGCTTAACTTTGATTGCAATAATTAGTAATAAATTTACTTAGATTTGTTTCATATATTTGTTCATCTTTTAAAGAAAAAAAATATCATTGCAATATGAAAAAAATGATGTTTATGCGGCACAAATAGCAGTACTGGACAAACTTATACATGTGATCTTGGAAGTAAGTTTACCTTTTGCCCAACAAGATTTTTCAAACATTAAATAGCAGTGATGCAAAATATCATGACACTCACTCGACACCTGTCAACGCATCAACCGACTATCGCCTTACAGAACGTTTTGTCACGCAGTGAGAGGTAGAGCCATGGCAAACAACAATCACTAGTAATGGTCGCTGCTCACAGGCAAAACGTAACACTCGCTAATGATGATGTAAACCACAACGAAAACAGTGAAGACTTCTTCAGTACGATGATGAGAAAAAGTGCAACGACAGAAGAAAATGAAAACAATGCCTACGCATTCCAAGTTCATCTCGACACGTGCGACTGTGTGAGATACAAACAAAACTGGCAAAATTAAACGGAAGTTGTTGGGCACACTCACCAACACACTCACATAAGCAAGCAAAACACAACTGCTTCAAAACGAGCACAGTTGAGTGTCGTGATTTTCGGGAATGACCATATCGATGACGGATCACCACCGAAGACGACATTCACCAGTTGCCTTTTACTTCTTTCGTCAACTTGATAGATGGTAATGGAGAGTGCTTCGACAAGCACATTGATAGGAATGTACTAAGCGTTACTACCATCAACTGTTTGACGATCGTGATTGTGATAGGTCGCAACTCTGCCAAACAGGCTTGATGAAGTCTCACTTGCGAGTCTGAAATGAACCGAGCGCAGCATTTTTCTGAGGAGCTATAATTCCTACTAACAAATCATTCCACCGAGCCTCACAGCGTGCTAGTTGTCGTGTCTCTATTCTAGGAGGAATTTCTTCTACCTTCTCGGAGGAATTTCTTCGACCCTCTCGGGGGAATTTCATCTACCCTCTCGGGGAAATTTCACCTACCCTCTCGGGGTGAATTTCAGCTGGTGGTCCGGATCGAGGTTTCCAGCCTCAGTCACGGTTCCACGAATCTGCTGCTACCTCTGTTGGTCCGCTAGTGCCGCTATCCCTTCTGCTGGTGGTCCTTTGCTGGTCGTCCGCTCTCTCGACAGTCCGTCATAAGAATGCCGTCAACGAGTAGTAAAATTTACATTTATTTTCTGGGTTTTTATGTTTCAACATTTGATTTAACATTTCAATTGGTTAGCCTTTGGCTCTTCATCTTTGTTCTAGTTAATTGGTTATTCTAATGTGATGATTGCGTTTAGCGCTAATTTACAGGATACCCTTTGTGGGATTGTTTTGGTTTGAATTTAAAAATTTGATAACCTACCTACTTGAGCACCTAACTACTTAAACTAGGTTGCCAAATCACGAATGATCTGGTGGTTTGATCGCAGACAGGCGACTCTGAACCTTTCCAGCGTGGAAGTCTTTCGCTCCTCGAATGTTTGAAGACCGGCCAGGTGGTGAATCTCAGAATTACGAGTTTGCGGTGGACTGTTAAGGATCATTCTGAGGATCTTGTTTTGGATCCTCTGAAGCTTTAAGTGGTGACACTTAGCACAACTCTCCCAGATTGGCATACCATACTCAATAGCAGGCAGAATGATTTGTTTGTGGACAGGAACAGGGTGGACTTCCTGTTTATCAGAGGGTAGAGCGACCTGATCAAGATGTTACACTTGGTGGATGTCTTGTCCACATGGGATCGGAATAGCAATTTGCTATCGAGGGTGAGACCAAGGTAGACTACTTCACTCGACCATTCAATAGGAGTGCTATCAAGATGGATCTTGACGTTAGCAGGCGGAACAAGCCGAGGTGAATTCGAGTATGGAAACAGAATGGTTTGTGTTTTTGCTGCATTGATACAAATCTTCCATCTTTTAAAATAGTCGGACAACACATCCAGGCCTGATTGTAGTTTACTCGCCAGAGCACGGATCACTCGACCCTTATAGATGATGGAGGTGTCATCTGCAAACATAGACAGGATACCACAGGGGAGGAACGTCTCACGTGAAAATGTTGAATAGGATAGGCCCAAGCAGGCTACCCTGAGGGACCCCTGCATCAACGTTGAACGTATCAGAGGGGACATTGTTCAAGTAGACCTGGAATGATCTGCCCGACAAGTAGTTTTTGATGATCTTCACGAGGTAGATCGGAAAGTTGTATCGATGCAGCTTGTACACTAGACCATCATGCCAGACAATGTCGAACGCCTTCTCGACGTCCAACAATGCCATGGCAGATGTATTGGAAACGGACTTGTTCCGCTTGATGATGTTAGTAACCCGTGCGAGTTGGTGGATGGTAGAGTGGCCTTTCCTAAACCCGAATTGCTCTTTGAGAAAGATGTTATTATCACTTGAAAACACCAGCAGACGGCTGAGTATCAATTTTTCGAATAGCTACGAGATGGAGGACAAGAGGCTGATGGGGCGATAGCTTTTGGCACTGGTAGGATCTTTGCCAGGCTTGTGTATTGGAATCACTTTGGCTAACTTCCAGCATGCAGGGAAGTAGCCAAGCTCCAAACATTTCAGTGCTAACATTTGAAAACGGCGCAAACGCCATTTGTAAACAAATGGTTTGTGGGCCCTTTACTCGCTACCCGAAGAACGCCCACGCAAACCAACAGCATCGTCAGGAAGGGGAAAATTTCCCCTACCCGATGTTGCTGTTGTGTCGCGTGGGTGTACTTCAAGTAGTGAGTAAAGGGCCCACAAACCATTTGTTTACAAATGGCTTTTGTGCCGTTTTCAAATGTTAGCACTGATTTGTTGAAGATAACGGTAAGATGGTTGAAGAAGTCAATACTCAAGTTTTTCAACTCGAGGTTGACTACACCATCCATACCCGCAGCCTTCATGTTTTTAGTACTTCTAATAGCTGTTAGCGCCGTCAAAGAGCTTAGGTACCTCATATTTGTACCTCTAGCGGTATCAAAATTCCAGAACCAATCAGATTCCGTTTACATACGGTCTATCACGCTTCACGCTCACTCGACTCTACTCATTTCTATTCCACACTAACTTTTTCTACTACACTAGCGAAGGGGGATAAAACGGAAGTGAGATTTACTGTCATTCATTTTCACGTTTTCCTTCACTCGCTTTAACTCTCACCCTGCACTCTATTTCAATTCTACTCAGTGGCTGAGTAGAATTGTATTCTTTTTTCTTTTTATCTCACGGAAATTCTATTCACTTGCAACTTAAAAATGAATTTTCTCTGTCACTGAGTAAACTCCCTTTCGAATTGCTCCTCAGTAACATTTCCGTGAGATAAGGAGAGAGCAATAAAATTATACTCAGTCATGATCAAAGCGAGGGGGGCGACACATCTAAATCTCAATTTTAGATGCTCAAAAAATCTCACGCTAGCGAATCAATCTTCGAAAAATCTTCTTGCATTTCTCGCATCTACATGCATCGTGCATCATCTTTTTGCAGGAAATCTTCAGAATCGTCATCAATCTTCTTTCTATCTACTCAGAGTGCGAGCAGCTAGCCACAGCACAACACAATCTTTCCTGCAGGCGTAGATAGAGTCGTCCCCCTCGGATCAAAGTCGGTAGTTTTATCAGTTTTAGCGCATAATATGAAAGTAGATGCCAGTTGATGGTGGATAGCGTTTCTATCTCAAAATTGACGACTATCCATATGGGACTGATATGCGCTGTTAGGCGAGGGGGACGACTCTATCTACGATGCAGAAAAAATTGTGTTATGCTGTGGCTAGCTGCACGCACGCTGAGTAGATAGAAAGAAGATTGTTGACGATTCTGAAGATTTCCTGCAAGAAGATGATGCGCGATGCAAGTAGATGCGACAAATGAAAGAAGATTTTTCGAAGATTGATTCGCTAGTGTGAGATTTGTTGAGCATCTAAACTTGAGATTTAGATGTGTCGCCCCCCTCGCTGTTAGGCAGTATAGTATGAAGGAATCAATTTCACTCCCACTGCTATCAAATCAAGATGTTGACCTATACGGAAGTCTTCCACCTCCCAAAGTTGATGGTTACGTGTTGATAAAATCCGAACATCACGGTACCTAATGAGTGAGGATCAAGCTTAATCTCCAGAATGATTGGTATTTTTTTTAGAGATTCTACTAATATTTCAATTTCCGTATTCTGTACAAAAAAACAGCGACGACAACAAATAAAGAAGACAAATCTGCTAGTATACAAGAGAAAAATACAGTGGCACTGCAATGAAGCAGAGGTAGAATTACTGCTTTAAAGAACTCACACATCGCTCAATTTAAGTAGATAGGTATTTTTGCTTTTCATATCCTTCTTATTCATCTTCTTCTTCTTCTTCTTCTTCTTCTTCCTTTTCTTCTTCTTCTTCTTCTTCGCATTTCAAGCTTATTGCTAATCGTATATTAGCTTATTTTATAATATTCAGTCTTCTAGATGACCTTCCACAGTTATTAATAGAGAGCTTTCGATGCCTGTATAATTTTTGCATTTGTATAATTGTGTACAATCATTCATACTCTATGCCCAGGGAAGTCGAGGAATTATCCAACCCGAAAAATTCCTAGACCGGACCGGAAATCGAACCCAGCTACCTCCAGCATGGTCTTGCTTTGTAGCTCCGCCTTTATCGGCTGAGCTAAGGGAGGCCCCATATCCGTTCAAAGTTTTTACCTTTGCGCCGTAGATGATAGAATTGAGTCTGTATCCATATCAGTGTCTGTTTTTATCATTTACCATCACACGCACGGAGTAGCGCTTCAACCCAGTGTAGATGAATTGCGTTCGTTTTGAATATCTTCGCTGTGAAGTACAAGCGAAACGAACAAATGAGTTCATTATACATCAACGACTATGCGTTTGTTGATATTCACCACTGCTTGATTATCCAACCCAAAAAATCAAAATCAGAAGCGATCCTCAAAAGCAAAATAATCAAATTCATTTTGGGCAAACTGATTATTTTGAATATTGTCGACTCCAGAGCCTAAAATCAATTCAGCATGAGGCAATAATTTGCTATCAATCTGTGTATAAAAACCAACACAACACGTTCTACAGCGCTGTATTTGTGTGATATTAAAATAATCATTTTGCATTTGATCCTCAAACCAGCCCCACCAAGATAAAGATGGATATTGATATTGACATCCAGCCACGAATGAACAAAAACAAATGTTGACCTTGATACTCAGAGGTTGCCTAGATCAAGAGAATGTGTTTATGTCAAAATTCAAATTCCTGCAGGTAGTTGGTCTATCTGTTAAGGTTGTCTTCATTTTCAGCTAGGTTAAGTGTAGAAGGAATGATTTTTTCAGCACTGATCCATATATTCTGGTCAAATGTAGAGAAATGTTCGAATACATCGTTTTGGTTTTCCGACCTAGTTGTCCAGTACTGCAATTTATCCGCAAACCGCACTTAATTGAATAAATTCTCCCTACGGTTTAAGTTCTATCTCCGTTCACCTTAAATATCGAGCCGAATTCTAAATACATTTCAACAAACAACTAGAATAGAGAGAGTAAATATCGAAAACTAGAACAACAAGAAAAAAAATCAGCAAAACACCCAACATTCACTGAAAACTCCAAGAAAATGTAGCTTTAAATGTGGACAATAAAATGATAGCCATTCGAAAACATCAAACCCTACTTACACAAAAAAAAACATCCTCACTCACACACACACCATGCGCATATGTATATCGGTGGGAAAATAAAGCAGAACCCAGAAGCAGAAAAAAATCAAATACAATATCAGTAGCAAATGATAGAAGCGATCAAAGCGACAAAACCTAGCCGAATCTGAACCAAGTTTGAACTATAAGAGAAAACCTTAATAACGCCAAGCGAGAGTACTGTGTTTAAATACAAATGTTGATTACTTGTTTAGGGATTTCAGTTACGATATATAGACTATTGCAAAACTCCAGCCAGAGACCACGCGAGGGTGGAAGCGGAGAAAGGAAGATATTCATCTACGTATGCATTGTTTTGTGTTTCCGTTCAACATTGGAATTTAATGAATCCTAAATATACAAACATAGCCGACTTAGTCAAGCGAAACTGTTCTAAAACTATTTCCGTTAGCTGAAAGTGGAAGTTTTGTTCAAACTCGAAAGTTACTGATTATTCTCAAACTAAGCAGAATCAAGTTCTAATCAATTAAAAATGAAGAAAACAGAAGATAAATCGCATTTACCGAAGTGGTCCCCAAGAAACCGCTTCAATAAAAGTTTGTAAAATTGACCTGACAGAGAAAATATAACTAATTTGCAGAAAAGTAATTAAGTTGACTTTATTGGAAAGAAATACCTTCAAGAGGATGCTTCCATTGATTCGACATCGGTAGATTTCGAATGCTTTTCGATTGGTTCGTTGCTGCTGTTGTTGTTGCATGGGTTGACTGCAACATCCAGCTGTTTGGTGAGACAATCCTGAAGAGCCAGCAGTGAAGAAATGTCAGCTCTCAACTTAACATTCGCTTCACGTTCCTGTTCCAGTTCTCCATTGATCACTTTCAAGTGCTCTTCAAACTGAAAAATGGGTTACAAAGGTTTTGTTTGAAGTTTCCTTGCCGGATTACAATGACAGATCGAACCTTTACATATGAATCCTCCTCATTTTCTGCTGCACCATTCCCATCAGTCTTCGACGAAATTGACAGAAGTTTTGCCTCCAAATCCACTATTCTCCGCATGAAAACAATACTATCGGATTGCATCTTCATCAGACTGCTCTTGCTGTTGGCAACTGCGACAGCGGCTTCTTCAGCTAACTTGTTCGACGACTCGGCCGTTTCACTGAGCACCACGTGTTCAGCTTCCAGCTTTTGCAAATGACTTATCAAAACAAGCATTAACCAACGTAATAGCAGTGCCCTAAAAAGACCCATTTCTCCTCTTCACATACCTATTGAGAGTATCCATCGCCTTCCAGATTCGATCGGCAGTTTCGCCGGGTTGATTCTGCGTTCCCTGCAGAACCTTCATTTGGTCCCGTAGTTTGTTGTTGTCCCGTGTCAGTTCCATAATCTTCACCTGAGACGCCTGCATCTTTGCCTGCAACCGTTCGTTGTCGTTCGTCTGCAATGAACCGTATTAAAATGTCACGTGCATCAACATAACCTCAACCGTGCTCAAACTCACCAACGCTTCCAGCTGCACATTCTGCCGGGCAGCATTTTCCATGAATCCATTCCGGATTGAGTCCTTTTGATTGAGCGCGTCCAGTGCAATTTTCAGTTGATCCCGAAGGTCTGTTAATTCTCGATTGAAATTTTTCGCATCTTGCTCCAGCGTGGCTTTTGCTCGATTAGAATCATCCAGAGCAGATTTCAGCGAGTTAACCTCATTCTAGACGGTTGTTGGCAATCAATTCTTATTCGAAGCAGGAAAAAAACACTCACCCGTCTTGATTGCAGCTCACAGATGCAGTTGATCAGTCGATTTCGGATGGCATCCAGATCGAAATCGTTTCTGGCCAATTGAAATTCCTGGTCGTCCATTGTGGTTAGCGTATAAATTATGCGTTCCGATTCCGAATGAGCTCCAAAGTGTTGATATTTAGTTATGGTCGCAGCAAACATTGACAAATTGGGTTGCGTTTCAACTATGGTTACTCACCTATACAATCAGGAATGCCAATTTTGAATTTGCTCATTTTCGTTCAATGGAATAAATGACAAATAGAGGGAACGACATATGTCAACGGCTGATTGCTTTAAAAAAGTATTGAATAACATATTGAGTGCACTGTTACATTGTAACATGACAAGCTTATAAGCAATTGTTACCTAAAATTACGCAAGCTACGGAAGTTACTGCCGACCGTCTTTCATGTCGCATGCTTGCGATGAGGTAATTTTTAAATGGATTATAAACTTAAGTTGGAAATGGAATGAAAGCAAACGGAAAGAACAAACAGTTTGGACTACATGGAGGGCATTGCATTGCATTGTTCGTATAGCGTACTGAATTTGAATTCTTAATTTCTTCTTTTGTTTTCTTTCTGTCTTACTATTCCTGGACCACTATGCATTGAAGCTAGCATTGAAGGGAAAATTTGTGCAAGTTACAAATGTTGACTCCAAAATATATTCTTATTTCAAAGTCTAAAAACTCTAAGGCTTCCAAAGTGTGACTATGGCATTACCAAACACTCCCGGGTAACTAGCTTATTAGCATGAGGCCCCTGAACTTTGTAGCAGGTCCGGCATGTTACTGGGTATCCGCAGGGGCTACGCGGACAAAGTATGAAAACACAGGAACATTCACATTTTCTAAAACAATTTAGTCCTTAGGGTTGATGCATATATTATCTCACGCTCTAGTGGGGGGGGGGGGGGGGGGTCTAAGACTATGTGACAAGCAATGTATTAGGTATAGGCAAAACGTCACGATAGGGGGGTGGGGGGTAAATTTCTTCTCGATTTAGCGTGACATAATTAATGCATGGACCCTTTTCTGTGGCGTGTGGGTGTGGTTTTTCCATATATGTGGCCTATGTGCGAGAGTTTAAATTGGCAATGTACTCACTGCTGCAACGGGATCTCCTACGGCGTCGCGACGCTGGCGATGGCCCACACGGCTACTCCTGCACTACCGTGTGGCCGGAAACTTGCGGCGCGGGCTGGTGGCGTTCATCAGCGACATACGGCTCAGCATGCGTTGCTGGCTCTTTTGGCTGGCAGGCGTCTTCGTCGAGCCACAGAGAACAGACATCCAAGTCAAATTCATAAAGTGTGTAAGAAATTTAACTGCTATTAAGAATAGACATTTGAAACTAGCAATATCGTGGTAGCGCTAGTGTCGCTGCCCATCGACGTCGATGACCGGCAGACTCCATCTTAAAATAAATGTCAAAATTGTTGTGAGCGAAACATTGTTTGTTCAAAACCGATAAGAACATGGGTCTCAAGTGCGAGTTTTATTGGTGTGCAAATGAACAAGGCGTTACCAAGCGAAAATCTTGCTGAATTAACCACTTCATTCGAACAGTTAAAATGACATTTACTACCACTCGAACTTTGAAATAAAACATTATTTTGAGACTTTTTCTTCTAGAACCACGAGAAAAGTAGCCAACATTTGTGCGTTTCATAAAAAAAATAGAAATTAGTTGGTCCAGTTATGTGTAGTCGCTGGTAGAAAGTCACGCCAAAACTGCTTGACAAAGTGGTCAATTGCCCCTTGACTTCCGAGCCGAGCCGTGTGAGACCGTTTTATTTTACAGTACGAGGTCCTGAGAATTATCACGATTCAGTAAGGGAAATTTCCGTCAGTATAATAAAAATCAAAATTCTATTGCATCCCAACAAACAATTGTTTATTGAAGAAACGGCTTCTTTGTTTTCATTAGGAAAATTTTTGTGTATACACCGAAAAAAGTTTTCATATAGTTTCACATGAATTCTTACATAAATCACATAAATTTCACTGGACACATAAGGTTCATGTGATTTTGTATTGCGATTCCCAATTATGAGATCACATGAAAGTTATGTGAAATTCCAATGGATATTTTCCATTGGAAATGTGATTTATTTTTTGAGTGTACGTATACGTGACGTAGTGTGCGTGCGATAAACGTTAGCAATCTCTATAAATATAGCGACTATAGAAATTTTCACGTCCGGTTGTAGTGGTGTGATATGTGAGAGCTAGCGCTGGCGATGGTGTCTTCGAAGCTGCCTATCACTGCAAGTATCCTATTAGTAACGGCAATCCCCGCTCTGACGAATCTTCAATCCCTAGGACTGCGCCTCTAGCAAGTAATACTGCACCTGCTTCTTCGAATGTCCTGATGTACTACCAAAATGTTGGTGGGATCAACAGCTCTCTCGCCGAGTACCAATTGGCCTTCAGCGACGGTTCCTATGATGTTTACGCACATTCCGAAACCTGGCTCAATGGGCATACCTCAACGAATCAGTTGTTTGGCGAATCATATTCCGTTTATCGACAAGACCGGTCGCCTTCGAATAGCAACAAAAGCACTGGAGGTGGTGTTTTGCTAGCTGTTCGCTCGAGTTCGGCGGTTGAGCAAATATGGATCGCAATTGCCACTGTCGATGCAACACTCTACCTATGCGTTGTGTATATTCCCCCTGATCGAGTAAACGATGAATCTTTGATCGAAAAGCATATCGATTCGCTTAACTGGGTGGTTTCGCAGTTAGGACCAAGAGACAACGTTATCATCCTAGGCGATTTCAACTTGAGCTCGATCTCTTGGCAGCGTAGTTCACATGGTTCCCTGTACCCGATTACATCACGATCCTCGATTAGCCTGGCATCACGGAAGCTGTTTGATGCGTATAGCACCGCTGGACTTAGACAAATGAGTGGAATTGCAAATGAAAACAATCGTACGCTTGATTTATGCTTCGTCAGTGAGGAACTTTGCGAGCACAGCACAGTTATGCAAGGTCCATCACCGCTCGTTAAAATCTGCAGGCATCATCCTCCTTTACTGATGGAATTTAAGATAAGTCCACAGCAACGCTTCCAAGATACCTCTGAAAGCATCGCCTATGGCTTCAACAGCATGAACGAGTTCCTCGCACATGTCGATTGGGACAAGGTGCTTCCAAATTGTTATGCCAACCTCGCTGCGTCGACCATATCTGGTATCCTGTGGTATGCTATCGATCAGTTCGTTCCCGTGAAGTCTAGACACGAGCCGGCTAAGCCAGCCTGGTCAAATGCTGACCTCAAGCATTTTAAAACTGTGAAGCGGGCAGCTCTCAGACGACATAGTAAGTATCGCACGGACTCCACGAGAACGAGATATATGGCGGCGAGCACTGAATACAACCAACTTAATAATCGTTGGTACAACGCATATCAGGATAATCTGCAAAGGCGCTTCAAGACAAATCCCAGAAGTTTTTGGCGTTACGTCAATGACCAACGGATGGAATCCGGACTGCCCTCTACGATGACCAACGGATTGTTCGAAGCTGATTCCACCACTGACATTGCCGACCTGTTCCGTTCTCAATTCAGCAATGTTTTCACTAATGAACACATCGACCCGCAGGATGTAGCCGTCGCCACCAGAAATTTTCCTCGACTTTCGGTTTCTGGGCTACAGTTGGTGATCACGAACGATATGGTTATATCAGCCGGAAAGGATTTAAAATCCTCCACGGGATGTGGTCCGGATGGGATTCCATCGCTTGTCCTCAAAAGCTGCGCGGATACACTTGCAACACCATTAGCAAGAGTATTCAACCTATCTTTGGCTACTGGTGTATTCCCAAACTGCTGGAAGCAGTCGTATGTTTTCCCAGTTTTCAAGAAAGGCTGCAAGTGGATTGTTTCGAACTATCGGGGCATAGCTGCGTTGAGCGCCACTTCTAAGATGTTTGAGGTGATCGTTCTGCATAAGCTGGTTCAGAACTACGCACACTACATTTCGGTTGATCAGCACGGATTTATGCCTAACCGTTCAACGACAACTAATTTGACTTGTTTCACTTCGTTCGTGATCCGCCAAATAGAAAATGGTCAACAAGTAGACGCTATTTACACAGACTTATCCGCGGCGTTTGATAAAATGAATCATCAAATCGAAGTTGCTAAATTCGACAAGCTGGGAATGAACAGTAACTTGCTTTCCTGGCTTCGATCCTACCTAACCGGTCGAAGTATGTCCGTCAAAATTGGAGACCACGTTTCGCCCTCCTTTCCGGTTTGGTCCGGTGTTACCCAAGGAAGTCACTTGGGGCCGTTTCTATTCCTGCTGTATATGAACGATGTCAATTTCATCTTGAAATGCCTAAAACTCTCGTATGCCGATGACCTGAAGCTTTACTGCATGATTAAGCAACCACAAGACGCGTTTTTTCTGCAACAATAACTGGAAGCCTTCGCTGAATGGTGCCATATTAATCGAATGTCGCTGAACGTGTCTCGGTTATTTCATTTGGCCGCAAGCAATCACTCTTCCATTTTAGCTATGCTTTGGGAGGCGTGAATCTACAACGTGATTCGACAGTGAAGGACCTGGGGATTCTGGTTAATACAAAATTAACCTTCAAGGATCACGTCGCGTACGTTGTGTCTAAAGCCTCATCGCAACTAGGATTTTTATTTCGCTTTGCAAAAAAGTTCAAGGACGTTTACTTGCCTAAAAGCTTTATACCACTCAATTGTGCGCCCTATCTTGGATTATTCGTCTATCGTCTGGTTTACCAGAATGAAATTCAACGCATCGAAGCGCAAAATTCGTCCGGTTCGCTCTACGTCATCTTAGGTGGAGAGATCCATTCAACCTGCCCAGTTATGAAAGCCGTTGTCTACTTATAAATCTGGAATTACTAGAAGCAAGACGCAACGTGGCAAAAGCGCAATGACGTTTATATAAAGTCTGGGCCAAAGGGCTAGTGTTAGTGAAATGTGCAAATGTTTAGTGGTGTTCGTATTTTATTGCAATGTTTATCTTTTTACACGAAACAGCTGTTGGCAGTGACGTATTTCTATCTGTTCGGTGATGTTCAGCAATGTTTACAACATTTTTGCTTCTAACACCAGCAATCTGCCTGTTGGCCCAGACCTTATATAAATGTCATTGGCAAAAGCGTGCTTTGTTGGGGATCTTCTGCAAGGCCACATTGACAGTCCTACGCTTCTTAGTCTCTTGGACATCAACACACGTCGTCGCAATCTTCGGCTGCACTCGTTTATCACCATCCCTCCGGCAAGAACTAATTATCCGTTATTTTCAATCGATGATCCTTATTATTGTGCTTGCCGAAATGCTTCGTGTTGGAGCTATTAATTTTGCCCCGCTAGATTGCATTCCTGGTCCATAGTGCATGGGTAGGAAGGACGAGAATAGTCGCTAAATTCATAGCCTGGCGGATAGAATTTCGATCTATCAAAAAGCGGAACCTATTCAATATATTTTAGACCAACAATTGAAAAGGTACTATCAACTGTTATAAACGCAAATTACCGGCATCATCGGATAAGGGAAACTTTCCCCAACCTATGTTTGGTGTTAGTTTGCGTAGGCGAGCCTTGAGTCACGAGAAAAGGGTTTCCGAAGTTTTGTTCGCAATATCTGATGTGCTCTTTTCTGTTGTTGGTCGTGATTTGCTCGATTGGTTCCGCTATTTGACAGCTCAATTGGTTCCCGAGATTCTATCCGTCAGACTATGAATATAGCGATTATAGGACGAGGATGTAAGCTCCCTAGAGCAGAATTTTTCTATGAGCTAACGCATGTACAGAGAAAACATTCTAAATTTCAATGGTAATGTAACCCATGCACGCAAACATTCATTGTTATTGTTATTGTTATTGCTCAGTTCACACCCTGGCAGGCTACTGCCTACCGATCTGCACTTAAGCCAGGCATGAACCTACGGAAATTTAGTCGTGGCCTATGCTAGACCGTATAGCATAACGACTTTCCTTTCACTAGCAGGCTTTTTGGTCCCACTAGCGTCCGATTAGGGGATAGTAAGAGATTAAAAGAATAAAGAAGAGAGATAGAGGATGTTGACACGTTGGCTTGTTGTGCAACATCAAGTTTGTTCGCTTTCATTCCGTTCCAAGGGACAACGTCCATCGTCGTCGTACTAAAATACCTGGGAACATCCAGAGGTGCACAGGGCCAACGTGAAAGACTTCCATTCTGGGCAGCTGCTTGACCTGGGCGCTGGGCCCAAGTCAAATTCCTATCGGCTTGCTTAATTTACTTGTTGACGCTCCGCCGCCTTAGTATTTGCCTTTGCTGCGATGTTCTGGCGGAATTTAATTCATAATCAAACGCTTGCCTGCAGACTTCGTTTCTATTGCTATCGGCTTCTGTTGACATTTACATCTGAGATCCATTTGTGAGGCCACCAGCCACAAGATATATACCGCAGGCAGCGGTTGATGACATCTGCAGCTTTTGGGTGTTCTACACTGGTGCTGCACAGATTCCACGTTTTAATCGAAGTTTCGAATTTTGGTACGTTCACCAATCTGATTTGATGTCCGCATTTGTGTAAATGTCATATTATCACCGACCTTATTACCATCACCTTGGTGTGTGGCATCAGGTGTACGCTCCTCTGTGTTTTCGTTACCAAGGCAGTTACAGGGCTGTTACAAGATTTTCTAAATTTGATCCGCGAAATCCGCGATTTTTGAAAAGAAATCCGCGACTTCAAAAACTAATCTGCGCCAAAAAAAAATAATTTTCATTGCCTAAAAATAGCATTTGTATACTACTACATGGCATTTTAAGCTTATAGCATATTAGATTTTTGCCTGCTCTCAACTTAGCGTTCTTTGAAGTACTTTCACATTTTAATTGAGAGCTTTCTATGCCCGTACCATCCTATGCCCAAGAAAATAGAGAAATAGTCCAAGCCGAAAAATTAAAAGACCGGACGTGAATCGAACTCAGTCGCCTCCAGCATGGACTTGCTTTGTAGCTGCGCTTTTACCGACTGAGCTAAAGGAGTATCGTTTGTAACCTTTAATTTTTTTTTAAATTACATTGTATCATCTTCAGTTATTTATGTATTGTATAAATTCTGAGTAATTAGTGAACATAATAAAACACCCTTACATTGAAATATGTCCAAACAGATTCATAGTGTCTATATGGATAATGTTTAATTATTTCCACGTATACCAGATGATCTAGGTTCTCCAAATCGTCCTGCAGTTCAGATGATTTGTTTTACTAGATCAACAAAGACTAGGATAATATCTGTAGTATCGAAATACCGATTTGGAAATCCTAGAACATTTGGCATACACGTTGGCATGATCCACATAGACACTGCAAATTTGTGTGGCCATATTTCGATACTACAGGTATTGAATTAGTCTTGGGCAAGAAATCAAAAATTTCTCCAAATGACAAAATGACAAGCGATCAACGAACCGAATAATAACGCTATGTCAGAAGTGGAGAACAATAATGATATAATCTTCTTCCTTCTTTTTCATGACAAGCAGCCCGTGCGACTCAACTCACTCGGGGATGTAGAAGGAAACGAGCAAATTGTTGGCAAACTGCTCCACGAAGTAAAGCCGAACATGATACACGTGTGTTAATGGGAATTTTTGTGTTATGTCTTTTCTCGATTCATATCAAGCTATGTCCTCATCCGTGTATATTGCAACAAAGCAGGCAAGCAATATATCATTATCCTTCTAACACTCGGATCGAGCTATGTTACAGAGCGAGTTTGTCATGGTAGTCGTAGCAACCATTTTGTCTGTATCGTTGGTTGCTTTATGTATTTGGATTCGCTGGTCTTGGGTGATCTAGTATAAAAATAATCTGATCTCCAGAATGATTTCAGAACCTATAACATCTTGTATACGTAGCAATAGGTCGGGTACAATCCACATTGACACTTTGAATCTGTTTGGACATATTTCGATACTACAGACATTATTGGAGTCTTGGTTTATATAGTAGAAAAAATCAACTGAACTCCAGGACGATTTGGAGAACCTAGAATATCCGGTATACATGGCATTTACTCGCATATATACGATTCGTTTACGATTTGACAACGAAAAATGCTATGTTCACATTGGAAAAAAAGGAAAATGACTTACATTGGACAGACCTCAGGAAATTTCCGTGTAAATCCGGTGGGACCTATTGAATTGAGATCATTTCTCGATTATTTACACATTCCGGGACGGAAAGGTTACAAAGAATTCCATAATTTTTGTGACAGCACATCAGTCCCTTGGCGATTTTCGCGACATTATTTAATGTTTCCGCGATTTTCGCGACTGAAGATTCAAATCCGCGACAAATCCGCGAAAATCGCGAAATACGCGAAATTCGCGAAATCCGCGCCTGTTGTAACAGCCCTGCCAATGCAGTTAATTTGACACGTTTGTTGCATTCCCGTATGTCTCAATATTATTCTTGCTGAACCACCGTCAAACCCACTATCCAGAGGCAGCGAGCCACCTTAACACCTGAAATTATACAAAAACAAATCAAACATTAGCACCAACCCCCCTCCCCCCCTTCCTCGATTGCAACAGCTCCAAGCCATGCAACAGGATCATTTCGTGCCCCATGACAACTTGATCCAGTTGCTTACAGGTTCATTGTTTTGGCGCCAGCCGGGAGAGACTTGGTCCTGTACCAAATGCTTTCCTTGTCTCCATTCCGCTCAGCTACTCGCAATTGATTGTGATATAGTGGGCGGAATATTACAATGTAAGACAATTCAATTCAGACGTCTTCCAAATTTGGCCGATCGTCAGGTAATCAGTGGGTTACCACCTGGCACCTCTTAGCAAGCACTATGCTACGAAGCGGACCGGAAGTTTCAATGAACAACCTCCCCCAACCCATGCACGCAAACATTCATGAATGCAAATTTCCTTGTCTTGTTTGTTAGTTTACTGGGTTGCTGGGTTGCTAGCAAGAAATGTTGCTTACAAAGATAGACGGTGTTTAGACAATGTTTAGAATATTTCATGAAATATATTATTTTTTAATAAATATTTGTACATGAATTAAATAAAGATATACAAACATTAATAAATAAATCGTTATAAATTTACACGATCTATAAAGAGATCTTGTATGATATATGATGCTCCATTTATAAGCATCATAGTTACAAAAATTAGCACTACATTTTTGAATTGTGCATTCAAATCTATTAGCGAACGTTCATCGATGATTGCATTGTTTGCTTTCAGATTATGTAACATAATTCGATTATAGATACAATTAGTGGTCTACATGCATGCAACGTCGCCATCAACAGTCAGATAAGTTTACCACAAGATTAGACACAATGGCCGCATTGTTATACATTTTTAACGCGCGATTACGGTCATCTTAAGTATTAAGCTTCACTTATAAATGGACAAAAATTACATGCACCAATCCGTAGTTACTCAACAGAGCGAATTACTTAATAGTTTCGCCTTATTCTGCCTCTCCATATATTTACTTTTCCTTTTTCTGCTGAAACGTATAATTAGCGATCAATACCTTCTATTGTGCAACAGGTGTCCTTCTTTCTTTGCACATATAAAAGCTCCCACCAGGTGGGGGAAGACCCTCAGTAGTGTGTCGTTCGTTCAGGTTGTATCGTCCATCCTGCTTTTACCTCCACCGAAACTAACATCGAAAAATGATTGGAGCACCCACACGGGTAATTCAGCTCGCAAAGGAAAAAAGCCAGAAAATCATTGCCTCTAAATCCGAAAAGTTCTCCTACAAGATCGAAAAGTTCCTCACCGTCTACCAGGGCTACAATCAGATCAAACCGAAAATATTCCCCAAACGACTGGCGACGATGTTTTCGACCGATGTGGTCGCCACCGAGGACAAACGAGATTACTTCAATCAGCAATCATCCCTGGCGGCGACTTCCTCTCTGAGACGGCATCAACGAGAGAGGGGTCTCCGGGAAGGGGACATCGATACCAGCAGTAAGATAAGGATCGTATTACCAGCAGCAGCTCAAATAAATCGACCGGCCACATCACCGACGCTCACTCTACGATCGCTCGTTGCGCCACGCACAAGAAAGTCTACCACCGGACCGAAAACTCCCACCAGAATAGTGTTGACCAACCCGGAAAGGGGTAACGAAGCCATAATTTGCTCGAGTGTAGTGCTCACCTATCAGGAGGGGTTGTTTCGTCACGACAAGGATATGGTTCGAAGGGATAGCGATGTATGAAGTGTTTATTTAACGTAGGACATAATTTAAGTGAAAAATGTGTATTATTGTAAGCTTTTTTTATCATTGTTTCATCCAACGAGCAAGAAAAGATTAACGCGAAAAAAATAACTCATCAAACCAGAAATGACACTAATTCGATTTGCTTTACATTTTGTCCGCGAATACGAACGCGGAATGCTAAACCGTTGTTGCATTTCACCACCCACGTTTATCAGTGATGCAAATCCCCTGACTTCGATGGTGGAAAATATTATCATGGACCGTCAAAGATGAATATAAAAGCAAAAGTTCGATCCATGTTGCCAATCAGTCATCGTTCGGGATTGCTCCTGGGAAACAGGCGAAGTTTGGATAACACGTTCCTCCATCAAACTTCCCGGTCACAGTTCTCAGCTCAAGATGGCTCGTCTCACGCTGTCGATCTTGACCACCCTAATTATCTACTTTGCATATCAGGCCCTGGTCAGCGAAGCCATATCCACCAGTGACAGTAGCAGCAGCAGCAACAACCGTGGTTCTCAATCTACCAGAAGCAGTGAAACGGTAGAAAACCTGCTGAGCCAGGATGATGGATTGAGCAAACTGCAAACTGCGTGGTTAAAAAATGCCCTCAATCGGAGATCCTTCGGGACCCCAGCAGCTGTGGGGCAGATTGGAACGTACACCGTGCTTCGGAGATCGCCCTCGGTCGGAGCGGGAAGTTATCTAGCTGATCTCAACTTCGTCGATGACGAGGACGTGGAAAAACGGTTCGACGATTATGGACATATGCGCTTCGGGAAACGTGGCGGCGGAGGTGACCAGTTCGATGACTACGGTCATATGAGATTCGGGCGGCGGTAAATTGGTAGGCAGTGCGGTAGCGTGGCGTGGTGTCGTCGTTCTCGTCTTCGTCTTCAACTCGTCTTATTGTGCAACTCTTTGTGGCGGCTGGTGACATCTCTTCGTTTGGGTTTTAAATGCGAACAACATAAGTAAATAAGAAGATAATAACAAAAATGTGGAATTCATCTGAATAAAATGTGCTGAACCAGACGTCGCTTTTTGTGGTATGGAAATTTGAAAGAAATTATCAGCTGAAAATTTGTGTACTTTAGGGTGCTTTATTTTTAAAAAGTATTTGCAATCATTAAGGCCACCCTCCAGTTTGTTGATAACACCAAAATAGGATTCCAAGAATGATGAAGGTTTAGAGGTCGCGCAAATGGTTTGAAGTTTGTATGGGGATTACTATGGATGCAGTTTAAAATTCACAAATGTCACTCTTACTTTTTTTCTAGTTGTTCACTATACTGTCGTTCTACGAATATCTGTCCCATGTTACTTTTGGACGTTTTTCACTTTTGTTCATTAAATAGTAATGTTATACGTACACTTTGGAATGTAAATTGAAAACCTTATAATTTGTGCTGGGCTTATATAAAAACAACATCATGCCTAATTGTAATTGTAATTGTTCAGTGCATAGGCTGTGCCTTCCGCTAAGAAGGCTTATCTAGGGACCAACCCCCTAGTCTATACACCTACTGTCCTTCCCGTTGCACTCGTCAGCTCGTGCGATACTCTAGACACACATGGGTGGTCGTATCCGGGTCCTCCCCTGGGTAGGCTCGTGTCCGTCCAGGTTCTGGTACATTAAATTATCTATATGCATGGTAATGATACTTTTAAAACTTACCTCTTGATTATAATGTCGAAAATGCTGAAACTAAATAAAGGTTAGCGATCCATATAAGGTGTGTGCTGCGACGGAGTAGTAATTGAAGGAAATGAGGTTCTGATGTAAAGTATAGGTAATTCTAAAATAGGTAAATCAATTAATCATTAGCTGCTAACAGTTACTAATAAATGGGTACGATAAATCACTCATCAATGAGTATTGCCACTCCCACTGAAAAATGGGCAAAACCTTAATCATAAATTGATATTCGATTCCTACCGTGTATTTAAAGTAAAGTTAGGATCTTATCAAGCAAGCACACACCTTTTACGATTCTTATCCTACTTACGGTTTCCTGCACATACGACTTTTCCTAGATACAAGCTTCGTCCAGTATACATTGGCTGTCTCCAACCGGCACGATCCTTTTTGTCTGCTTCCTCTTGCCGGTGCAAGCTTAATTCTTCTTTTCTTGTTCGAATTTTCTCGCTACTTTTCTCCTATTGAACTTCTGGTCGTGTTCCCATTTGTCCTCAGACAGTTAATATTAGTACATGATAGGAAGAAAGAAAGAAATAGAACAAGTTAAGTGTGAGCCGCATGCATTGGTTACTTATTTGGGTCATGGTGTTGGCTTCCCTATTTATTTGCCTCTATTCGCTCTCATATCGCAACGTTTAACTCACCCCCTTCCCTCACACTATTATGGTCGGAAAAGAGAACCCATATTTAGTAATCTATCGCGAACTGCGATGCAGAAGATATTAATAGCAAACTAATCTGGAACTGGTCTAAGACATATGACCCAGTGAGTATTGACACCTCACACTGTTGTGAATGAGCATGGACGCGAGATTTACTAGAGTATTAAATGCAAAACGCAAATTCAAAATAAAATTTGACAAGACATCGTCAATCCCTTATTCTTGGGCAGGGTCTGACGATGTGAATCTGATTTTGATCAGTGAACGGGCCCCATATGGTACATTTTCTCACTCTGAACCTGTCATTTCCAGCCTATCTGAACTATTTAATAAATGGAAACCATAACATGGGTTACGCTTCCTCTAAGCGGGCCCTCCGCATCCTATCTCTGTCTTATCTCAAATGCCAATGGTTTGAATGTATCAATGTATACATTGGAAATGACGTTCAATCAAATAAACCCATACCCCACTCACTTGGCCAGGCTTCAGAATCGTCCAGTGGGCAGTGCGCTCTACACTCCAAGTTCCCTTTCTTTCAAATTCACCCCAAATTTGATATTTTACCCCTTTGAGTGTTGATTAATCGCAATGAAACATTGTGACAGAGCACGGACTTGAGGTTACTAGACTATTAAATAATCTAGGTCCTATTTAGGATTATATCTGAAAAATCCAAATTTGGCCAACGCCCACCAACAACCACCCCTATTCTGTATTTCGTTTCGAACGAAATACTCATACAAAAAAATATTTTTTTGTATGAGAATTTCGTTCGAAACGAAATACAGAATAGGGGTGAACATCATGCCTAATTGTCTCATTTTGAAATTCTACGTATAACTATCCCACAAAGATATTTTTCACTGATTCTATAATTAAAGCATCGTTTGGAGTTCACGAATGATTGAAACAGGACTTTTATGATCACAAGAAACGGTATGAGCCATTTCGAGCCATATTGAAAATCAATAATTCTAGCCATGGGGAGGGTTTTAGTCATTTCATTTTCATTTTCAAGCACAGAAGGGGGTCATAGGGCCAAGTCATCAGCGAAAAATCACCAGGGTAGAGGTATAGATTTGGCATCACAGAATAATAACCACAGTGGTCAAATGAATCCTGTTTACGATACCGGATAGTAAGGAAAGCTGTTGAACATAGGGGATAGTCAGAGTAACTGCAATAATAGTGAAAGTTAGGAAAATAAGCAGGTAGAGATGGTTGATTTGCAATGGCTATCGACTCTGTTATATGGCCTACCGTATCAGATTCAAATTTAATGTCGTTTAATATTGCGCTTATTACTTTTATCTTTATTCTAAGCAATCTCCTTTCATACTTTTTTGTTTTAAAGTGAACTGGATGAAATGATTGTTTTATCAAAATTATGTTAAAGTTAACTATGCTTTCAATTGTCAACAGTTTAGTTTCAACTGAATTAGTTGGCGACTCAATTTGATGTTATTTTCCACTTTTAATTAGTTGGAAGTATATTAACTTACGTAATCGATTCGTTGAGTGATTGATGATTTACTTACATTTTATACGGATTATGTAGTTTTACGTTGTCCATTTCTAACTTAGACATTAACTTGACACTTTCAAATATCTAGTTATTTCCAAATCCGTGAAAAGACTCTTCTTCGTTGTCCGAGAACCCTTCGAAGTCTGATAGTCGTAGATCATTTTCAGTGTATTCTGAGCTTAAGGCGTCCTCTGAATCCTCATATTCTGATTCGATCAATTCACTGAACAATCTCTTTGTTGCTGCTTTGTTGGCAATATCCATCCAATACTCCACAGTGCTGTTGCTTCTCTCGATGTCCTGTTTGATGCTGGTTTTCCAGGTGAAGCAAGGTCGTCCATGTTTCTTTTTGCCTGATACACGATAATTGAGAGCTTTCCCTAGTATTCCTTGTGATGTGTTCCTTACCGCATGTCCAAAGTAGTTCAGCCGTGCCACTCTAATTTTGTTGTTGATGGTGTAATTCCCTAGTTCCCTAACTGCAATATGCTCTGACTGCTGGGGTGACTGCATTCTTTCATTATGATCGTCAATTTGTGACACTGCTTCTGGGTTGCCAATGTATGGTACATCATTATTGCCAGGAACATCGTTATGCTGTTTTGCTTCATAGCTTAGAATCTTAAGCGCTGCAAGCATGGTGATTTCCATTCTGCGGAGCGAATTTCTATTGCTTTTGAGGACAGTCGCTACTTCCATCGAGTACGTTACTATTGGAGTGATTAGCGTATGGTACATTTTTTTTTATTGTTGCCCATCGGATGCTGTGGTCTCTTAGGAACGAAGTCAGACTATAGAAAGCACTGTATGCTTTTCTTATTCTCTCTCTAGTAGTTTCTTTCCTAGTTAAACTTCTTGTAATGTAGGCTCCTAGATACCTTATTTTCGTCACTACCGGTAGTTTGTACTTACCAAACGTTTGTATTTCTTCAGGAGCAACATTTTTAGTGTTGTAGGGGTCTCTGAATAATACTTTAGATTTGTCAGTGTTGATTTCTAATCCTATAGACGCCAACAATGGTTCCAGGGTAGAAATGATGCGTTCCACATCCTCCATTCTTGTGCACAAAAAAAGTATGTCATCTGCATATGCTAGTACTAGGGGAAGGGCTATGCTAGCGAGTTGTTCGATGTTCAGTTCCGGAAGAAATTCGCGTAACGTAGTTAGTACACTATGCAGCATAATTATAAAGATGATAGGACTTAATGGACACCCTTGCTTTATGCCCTTTGTTTTGCGGATTGATTGCGTCCTTTGCCCAAACCATTGTACTGATGTTTCCTCCGTTAGACAAGCCTTGATTATCCTGTTTATTAATGCCTTCGAGACACCCATAGTCATCAGAATTGCAGCGGTCTTCGTAGTGTTGATTCTATCGAAAGCTTGCTTCAAGTCCAGCGATACAATTATTGTTGGGGCACCTTTCCGCCATCTTTCATCCAATACTCTTCGCAGTACAAAAATTTGATCCGCTGCACTCCTTTTTGCTTGGAATGCCATTTGATACACTGGTAACGGCGGTAATTGTCTCTCTAATCTATCCAATAGTATTCTGGCGTATATTTTGTAGACTGTTGAGCAAAGCGTTATTCTCCGGTAATCATTCGTTGACTGTGGACCTCTGGTTTTCGGAATCGGTATTTGGATGGTTGACAGCCATGATGAGGGTATTTCGTTGGTGTTGAACACTTCAACAATTAAGTCGGTTACAGCGTCGATTGCATCTTCGGTCCCATATTTTAGAAGCTCTGTGGCGATTCCGTCCAGTCCGGGCGCAGAGTTGTTCTTCATTGATCTGATTATCGTTTCTATTTCCAGTCTAGTTGGCGTGTCACCTGGGCTCAAACCATCATCTTCCGGAATCATTTGTAAAGTTTCTGTGGATGTTTGCTCTGGTAGGGCCTTTTCCCAATCCCTGATATGTATGAATTTTCCACAAATTTTCTCGTTCTTCCTACGATGCGTCTTGATAAATCTAAAGGTTTTTACCATGGCATCCAAGGAGCCTGCTTTATCGGTCTCTTCTAGGAACTTGGTCACCTTCTCTTCGAAATGTTGGTCAAAAGCCTCCTGTTTTTGCTTCCTAGCCGTATTGCTTGCCTTCTTCAATTCCGCGTTCGTCCGATCTTTCAACAGTTCCTGGTGTGCTTCTGTATATCTTTTACAAGCATTCTCTCTCCTCGGTGTCATTGGCGATGTCGGTGCTTGGAGTGTGATGACAGCAGCCTCATTAATTGCTTTGGTAAGGGAGGACCATTTCTGCTCAATTGATTGTAAACTCCTGTGCGGATGAGATGTGAGTTTCCGATCAAGTGTGGCTTGATATCTGTCCCGTTTATCCTCGTCATTTTTTAATCCGTCTAAATCTAGTTTAATTCGTTTCGTCGGGTGGGGAGCTGTTGGGATTCTTGCATTTTGGTTTCCACCTTTTACTTTCATCTCACCTATCACCATTTTATGGTCACTGATATTATCCGGATGAAAGAATCCTTTAATGTGTGGAAATAGTAAGAATGTCATTACACTCATCAGTACGTGGTCGATCTGAGATTCGCTTCGCCTATTAAACCATGTTACTTTCACTGATGGAGACTTTGAGTATGTGAGGTAGTTTTTCAAGCGTAGACCGTGTATCATGTTCTTCAGTTCAAGGCCGTTAAGGTTTGATTGATGGTGGAAGAGATTTGATCCAATATATTGTTTATCTTCTTCCGTCATGTCCTGGATGCCGATGTGTGCGTTGAAGTCTCCTAACATAACCTATAATTATTTAAATCTTAATTAAGCCGATTCGTATGATATACGTAGAAAATAATAATTATAATGAAAAACAATAATAAGATAAAAATATACGTTACAATTCTATTTTGTAAACTGTTTGGAAGTCCTGAGACGTAACGCGTTAGAATGCCAAATTCTCCATTGTCAGCTGATTGTACTGGTCTTACATAAGTTGCGATGAACATAACAGATTCGCCCAGATGATTACTAATATATGAACAGGAATTTGTGCTGATCTTTTTAAATTTGTTGTCAACATGTATTGCTTTTGCTACTACTATCGCTGTGCCTTCTCGTGGTCTTGTCGTATTGTCGTCGTTTACATTATACCAGTAGAAGTTTTCCGTTTCTATAGTGCAACCAGGGAGACGTGATTCTTGAATTGCAGCTATTAAAATTCCTTGTTGAACCAACACTTCGTCTATCTTATTTCGTTTTATTTCAGATGCACATCCCCTTACATTCCAGCTTGCGAATTTCAACTGTTTCTTCTCTGTGATTTCAATTCCTTCAATATTTCCTGTATTTTCCGATCGGTTGCTTATTTGAGATGCCATTATCCTTGGATTTCTGTGCCATGCTCTGATCTGTTCATTTGGTACTCCGTACTCTCGTTGATTTACATCAGTTTGATTAACTGTCTGCTCTCGTTGATTTGTTTGGAGAACTTGCACTACGCTGTCGTAATGATTCCGGTTTGCGTAGTTTCTGGTCCGTGCAGTAAGTCGGTAAGCAATTCTTATGGTTCCGTTTGTCGTTCCTGATTCATTGAACTTTATGAGAGGGCCCTGCTCATTAAATAAGTCGAGTCTTTTTCCTGATATTTCTGTTACTGCAATAATTGTTTCTGTTCCTCCCCACTCGTTCGTTGTCTCCAGTCGACTGAGAAAAAACCGATTTTTTCTTCTAGCGAATTGCCTGGCACGATGATTTCTGGATCCATAATCTGTGTTTCCAATATTTCTCGGAATCTCTCTTGATGCTGTCTTATGTGGGTTACTACGGTTCTGCGCAGATCCCACATTAAGTTGTAATGTTCTTCAGATTGGCCGTTCGTGCCATAGAGTTGACTAACGATTGCTGAGAAGAGGCAATGTCCGTCCCTTTCCATTAGTCTTACTAATATTGCTCCATCATTATATCTCATCACTTCCATTTTGAATAATTTAGAGTCCTGATCGATTTACCTAATGATTTCTAAAGAAAATAATTTTAAAATGTTATACATTTTTTAGTTTATCTTCAGCGTTTTTGGGTTAGTTATTCGAATATTTAAAATATAATAAATAAATTTCTAGAATTTAGATGAATAGAGTATAAACATAGATAGACTTAAGATTGAGAGCGTTTGCGACAGCAATAGCATCAAAGTAGGAGTGAGATGTGTATGTATAGGAGGAGATAGAAGAAAAATGAAACTGGAAATCGGAAACTGGAAACTGCTGGACGTTAGCTTCAGGTTCTGTGTTAGTATTAGTATTGTTAGTGCAGAACCTTAGTGGACCCTCCCGGCGCCTCCAATCAGAGTTGGTGTTAGTATTTCAACTCTTCTTAGAGGTACGCTTTAATGACTGATATAGATTGCCTACTAAGGGACAAAACATGCAAAATTGACGCAGCACATTTTTGACTAGATTTAATCCCCCTCCCTTCTTTGTCCGTCACAAATTCTAAAAACTCCACCTCCCTTTCTTTTGAATGCTACGTCATTCATGCATGGTGCCTAACTAGAAAATGGTTATTGATTATGTAATAGAAATGGTTAAATATGTAAGCTTGTAAATGTTCGTTATTATATGAAATCAATCAAGACATATTACCTTATTTTAATTATAATTAACTTATCCAAATAGAGATAACACTGATATATAACAAAACAAAGCAAAAACAGGTAATAAATGAATAGCTAAATTAATATCTTAAGTGATTAAATCTTATTTATAAATTAGCAAGTAACATATTGGTTTACAAAGCAATAGTTAAAAGGCATCAATCAAATCATTTAAGCGTCGTTGATCCCTCCAGCAAAGGGGAGGGAGCCATGGGGAGGGTTTTAGTCATCAGCTAAATATCTAAAACGTATCACGTACAAATTGCTTTTATTTTGAATGAATTTATAAATATATCGCTATCAGTTTCGTCACTTGTTGTACACACAGGTACATTTTCCTTTACAAATTCCCAAAGCTTTCTTACGCGCACACACACGTACAAAAAAGAACATTCGTCTTGTCACAGATCATTCAATTGATTTTCGTTTTCCTATAGGAGTAAACTATCCTTGTGCCTTAACGGATCCTATAAGACGATTCTGCAGTGATCCGACCGAATTTGATATGAAAAAAGTGATGTAATTTTCGCAAACATGTAAAAGAATATCATCCGACTAGAATTACAACGCGACGGAACTTTGTCATTCTCGCTGTTTTACAAACATTTATCCTAAGTGTTCTTTTTTTAATGTTTCCGTTAACTATCATGGTAAAAGGCGCTTCCGTTAGTAAGCTTCGATAACACACGTTCGAACTTGGCCTCCTCTTTTGGTACACAATTGTGAGTCACATTCATAATATACAATAAGTAAAATTAAGTAGTTTCCAATCAAAGTTCAAATCGTTCAAATGCAGTGGTTTAAAGCCAATTTACAAATCAGGATCCAAGTACATACTTAACCGGTGCGTTAGTGTATTTTGCTCTGAAATTAAGTGCTCAAGTTTGTAATAAATAATTATTCCTTACAAAGTAATATCACGATAAGAGAAAACGCAAACTACAATCCTGCGGTGAGAAACTTAATCGTTCTTTTTGCGCGATTTGGAGCTGGTGCTCATGGAATCGCTCTCGTCGTCTCCTTCCTCGTTCTTCGGCCGAGTCCATTTGATCATCGTCTCCGGTGAGCGGTAGAGGAAGATTAATTTGGCAAACAGGTCCTCCTCCAGGGTGAACTCCAGCGACTCCCGCACCAGGTAGATGTCCAAGCAGAGCTGTAACACCCGATCCACGTAGGGCAGGTCCTCGAACATGATCTTCGAGCTGGCACCGGAAAAGATGCTGGTTCGAAGCATCCGCGAGAATACGAGAATCAGGGTGGAGTAGATTCCGATGATACTGAAAATGGGTAATCATAAAAAGAGGATATTTTGTTTGTTTTGTACCTTTTCACATACCCTCCGGCAGCAATGGAACTGATGGTGCTGGGGAAGATCTTATCGTTGAACATGTACATAACTAAATGGGAGATACAATCGGCATATGGCATGTTGGCAAAGGTGGCATACGATGGATCGCTGCAGTTCTCCTTGACCTCCCACCAGAACAGGGGGATGGTGTTGTTCGTATGGGTTTGGAACAATCGGAGCGTGATGTTGCGGTAGTTCTCTTCGCTATCGTCCGCTGCAAAATGTGTTGAGGAATAGTTAGCAATATAACATCAAAAGCGATTATTATTTGACCGCAAATCTACCATACTTACTATTGGCTTGCTTGATCAGCTGATGAATCGGACGAACGTTGCCGCTGTTCTTCACCTTGAGAAACTTTGGCATCATGTACGGCAGCGTTACGGATATATTGGAATCGGTGGATAACATCTGCACCAGCACCGGCCGAACAGGATCATTCGGTCCTAGTTCATAGGCTTTTTCCTCCGACACTATGCCGGGATTTTCCTTGGAATGTGACTTCCGACTGATGGTGTATCGAAACCTACACGTCAGCGTTGCCGTGGTATTTAGATCGTTCAACAAACGTGCCCTATCCGGTGGTGAAATGTTCCAAATTGAGGTAGAATTTGCACCAAGCTTTACTGCCGCCACGTCCACCGGTTCGTAGTTCGACAGGAAAGTCAGTGCAGTTTTGTCCTTGGCATATGGCAGCATGAATTTCCCCCATTGGTTGTCGTTCAGGCCGTGAATATTGTTATCTTGGGCGGACATGACGTACACCGGTTCGTATGGACCTACTCTCAGCGTAACAGATACATCGTACGGGAGATTTGGTTCACCGACTGCGTTGCTGAAAGCGAACAAGGCCAGTGGGAACCAAATCAACAGAATGATGCCGAACATCATTCCACCTCCCATGAGATACTTGACAAGGGCTCCTTTCTTTTGTCCCCTAGGAGCAGGCAAATCTTCCTCCAGCTGTCTCATGCACTTCAGTTGATAGACATTAGCAAAGATATCCTCCATCTTGAGCCAATCGAACAAGGTCATCGACGTATCCGTCCAGATCCAATCCATCAGCGTCCGCAGTTCAAACAAAAATGGTATCGTCATGAATAGTTTGTACCCAGTGAAATTGATCATGGTAAATCCTTTAGTGACAAAATTTCCGAGAATTCTCGCTGGATAGCCACAGCGGATCTGATAGGCTGAAAACAGCAAGTAGAAGCATTTGATGAGGTAGTAGTACACCGGTGGATTGGTCGCGTTGAAGCTCCGCTCCGTCGTTGACGGTAGCACGAAGAACATCCAAATGTGAAGCCCAATGATGAGGAAGAACTGGAACAGAATCTTCCCTACCATATACTTGCGCAGGTATAGCGCCCGATCAACCACGATTAGGAAGAACTGGATTATCAGCATCAGCAAAAATGTCATTGGCACTTTGTTCTCTTCAAAGTACGACAGTACGCCACCGTCGCCTTCCTGGGTCTGTAATGTAATGATAGCTTGAAACGATCGTGGTTAATAGAAAATTCAAAAGCTCGTACCCCAAAAGCGGAAAATCCAAACAGTATCACGAAAAAGTTGATGAAATCGCACAAAAACAGATACCCGTAGACGTCGGCCGTCTTCCGGGACTGCCGATCCAACAGCTGGCTGAAGAACGACTTCACCGATTCGGTGTACTTTTGGAACGAGTGCTTAACGATCTGTGGGAAATAGTCACCCGAGTCTTCGGTATGGTGTGTGACACAAACCAAGGCGTTTCCATTGCCATTGGGGGTGTCGTCCGGTGCGTGATCATCGGCTCTATCTTCCACCTTGACCATGCTGAGCTCTGTGGCCTTTTCCTGGCGGATGATTACCGTTTCTTGACTGGAATGGGTTGGGTAAATGGTGTTAACAAGTGCTGATATGATCAAACGAGCGTTCGGGAGGAATCTAACGTTCATTTAGAAAAGTCACTAGAAATTTATATAGTAGTCAAAGATTCCGAATCCGAGTAGTACTTATACTAGATATACGTAGCATAAAGTCTCAAATATGTTTCATTCCGAGTGACGTGAATTACATTTTGGAATCGAAAAAAGCAGCAGAGGAAGAACAGGAAATCTATCTAGAAGTATCCAAATAGCTAAATTACGAATGTCGAAAAAGTAGTAGTCTATTTTCGGTGAAAGTCTACAACACAGGAATAAAACAATCTAACATACAAATCCATCATCTTGAAAACTTGAGCCGTCTTGAATCGATAACTTTGAAAATGTTCCACCAGCAAAGGAATCTCCAGTTTGATCTGAGAGGTTTTCCTCGGTCTGAGCCGGGGAACGTGCCTTGAGAGAAACTGAAACACGGTCGAACGTCGACCGGGGCGTCTTGATGATCCACTCTCCTGCTGGGAAAGGGCTGCATCTGGTATGGGGATGGGATTGAAAACGGAACTACTATTGTTGGATGCGATGAGAGCAAATAGACCATACCATCGGAGTCGAGTGAATCGAAATCGGGAAGAGTCGATCCCTGAAGGAGAGTTTCACCGAGTCGGGATAGGAAACGGAACCTATTGAATCTTGAGGTCGGAAAAAGGGGGTTATGTTGATAATCTCATGCTCGCATTTCTCGCTAAAAATACTTACTCCTTCTCTGCATCCTCTGCGGCTTTGATCAAAGCTTTCGTCCTTTCATCATTCGTGTCCAGTCTGTACAATCCTTCTGAGGTTTCCGGTTCCTCGACAAAGTCCGATTTCCACAACCCCAGTGACTTGAGAATAAATCGATGACAGAACAGAACCAACAGCAGTGCCAAGTCATACGTGGCATAGCCCTTCTTCTGTTCGATTCCGATGAGCCTGGCCGGACTGAATGGTTGATTCGGTGGAATCGGATTCTGATTCCACCAGAGCATCTCAAATTGACATATGCACTTTAGGAGCACTACCGTTTGCGTGTAGGCAATCAGCGTAACCCAGAAGTTCTTCGATGGCCGGGGGAACGTTAACGTACCCCAGAGGGTGACCATCAGTGGTAGTGGCAAGGATAACAAGCTGGACGATTTGATCTGCAAAGGATGGAACTTTAGTACCTACTTCTAATTCATCGATTCACTTTCTAAAATTACCTGATTCAAAAACACTAAGAAGTAGCAAATGAAATCTGTGTGCGAGAGCACGGCATACCAGGCGGACTGCAAGAACTCCACAATCACCGAGTGTTCCTGGCTTGCAAAGTCCTCTTCGGATCCTTCCTCCTCCGGAGCTTTTTCCACGGCCTCCATCGTATCCACCGATTTGCTGCTCAAAGTATGAAACACGTTAGTCGACTGATATTGGTAATCAACAGGCGTCAAAATCACGAAAGCGTTAGTTATATTCGGAAATTCCGTCGGTGCTTGGTAATTACAGTGCAAAACCAAACTAAAACCACAGTGCTTGAGGAAACCAATGAAAACACTCGCAATGAAATGTGAGCATTCGGGAGGCAGCGAGAAAGATTGAAACCAAAAAAATCTATTTCGTTTAACTATTTTTCAAAATACCTGTCCAGTGTATCACTGGAGACAAAGTGGTACGGGACTCCTTCGTCTAATCCACGTTCCAGCGAAGGAGCCAGTATCATAATCTCGGGCAGTAAGCTTCTACGGGGTCTACATTATGCAGGCGCACATTCGATTCACATGATTCAAATGAGAGAATGTATGTTGCAAGCAAATACAATGGGGGGAAAAAACACGAAAACACTACGATTTTTATACGAATCTACCATGCCAAAATAAAAATTGGACGCATCAGAGAACTATGAGAAAATCATATGCATTGATCTACGATGCTGATGAGATTCTACCGAACAATGTGTCAATGTTAGCTCTTCGGCATCGACGCAATCTACATCAGTGGAATTTATCAAAATTTTGAAAACGACATCAATGTTCAAAATCACGCTACTCACTCTTCCTTCGCGGGCGGTTCCTTTCGGGAGATCATCGCTAGGGCTGCCCCTAGTCCACTTACTTGATGGAGCCGACTGGATAGGCATGCATTGGAACAACAAAAGTATACATGTGAGTCAAATCGTAGATATAGCAAACATATTGAAGGGAGATTTGCCTCTTTTGAAGCTAGCTACTTATTACGTTATACGAAAGCCTTAGGAATGTTATTCTTACAACATCTACAACATGTTTATCTGGCACACAAAAAGGTTTATGATTTCAATTGTGAAAAATATAATCACATCAATACGATGCATATGGTAAGTAATTTGATAAAACAAAAATGTTATATTGTCATGTACATTCTTGTTTTATCAATGATGATTAATGGGAACAAAGTGCATGGATATCTCAATGAGTTACCGGAAATTCTACGCATGATTCAATACAGCTACTGCGGTTTCGCATTCACAGAGAAGTATTAATGAAAACAAAAACTGCACTCGGAATTAAGAAACTTATGAAAATTGTGGAACATGGGTGTTGAGAATTGGTCGCAATCTAAACATTGACAGAAGTCTGAATGCGAGATTTTGAAGCTCCTGTTATACAACACATAGGACCTATATGGCAGGGCTGATAGTGCTGATGCGCTTTAAGAGTACACACTAATCGAGTCAGTACGGTTTTACTGAGTTTTTGAATTGCGGAACTGTTCGGTAAAAGTTTAAAAATCTGTAGAAAATTTATTAATCAGAAAATTTGTTCTGAACTTGTACATAGTTAGTTATGTTAACCCCATTTAATGATAGAAAATAAATTTGGTCGATTTCATTGATTCCTTACGGATAACGGTCATTTGAATTTTTACCGACTTTTTCAGCAATTCAAAAACCCGGTAAAAAAATACTGACTCCTGTAAAAAAATCTTAGTGTGTAGTGACTTTAGTGACTAAAATTACGGAAATAATGGCCAAATAGTGACTTGTAAATACTAAATAAGTAACCATTTATATGGCAACTTAGAAATTCAAATACGGTTTGATGTGTCATGGAATTTAAAATCAAATTTCATACATTTTTCTAATTTAATTGAATTACACAACGGAATCTTCTGTGAAGAGCATTTGAAGTGATTTGAATAATTTACTTTTGCTTACGTTGTACATGATGACTACAAATAGTAATTCCCAATTTTTTTATGATCTTGAATTTGATTCTGCGTTTGAAATCTTTAAATATTTGATATATCTAGGTAGATAACTTTGATAATTTGCTATGAACTTTTCACAGAAATTCTTCAGAATGATCTCAGTATGTTCAAACTTTCCTATAAACGATCTCTAGAACTTTTTTAGAATAATTCTCCTTCTTTTGAACTCAGAAGCAAAAAAGCTTTTACAAACATAATAATGCATTCTTGAAATTCTTTGTAGAACAATCAACAAAACTCTTGGAAATAGATTATTTTCGCAGTCGGAAATGCTTCCGTTATAGTGTTGCAGTGTGAAATTCGTATATAGAAAGAAGAAAGCGAACAAAGGACAATTTTGAGGAAGGTTCAAATAGAGTAGAGCATCTCCTTTACCAAGCTCATCCGTTAATTTATTTCATTTATTTAATTTGTTTTTCTTCATCGGACTTAACGTGTCTAAATGCAGCCTGATGGAGAAAAGCCTAGAAAGACGTAAAAACCCCATATCTTTTCGAAATACATGAATCACAATAAACAATACAATTAAGACGAATATTAATCAAGTCTATAGCATAAAAAAAGTTATCCTCCTATGGCATAGAGTTGTCCGTGAATCAGGTAGAGGTCCTCGTCATGCAGTTGAACCGGAAACAAAAAATAAACAGGTAGCACAATCCTTCACGTGTACATTAAATGGACAGCTACTCACCTTCTTCTCAGGAGTCTGCGTTGAATACGGCGACGAAAGGTTTCCGCTGCACAGTTAAAGTCGAAAAACTCGTAAAACTCATTGAAACGCACAGACATGAACCGTATTGGGTCATGCAAGCTGTAGTTCGCAGCACGAGGTCCAAGATGCAGGAAAATCCTCGACCGAAGAACTCGTTCGGGTGCGTAGATTTCGAATTCAGCCTTGATTCCTGGAGAGTCGATATCACCAATAAGTACTTTCGCCGCGAACACGGCCTGATTAATCGTCCGCTTATGTTCTAGTGTTTCAAGACCCAGGAGTTGACAACGATCTTCGTACGGTGGAAGGTTCACAGGGTCATGCCAAGGAAGGTGACGAAAGGCAAACCGAACAAATTTCCTTTGAACAGATTCAATCCTCGCTTTCCAAACTGCTTGATACGGGCACCATACTACCGAGCTGAATTCCAAGATCGATCGCACTAGAGAGCAGTATAGAGCTTTTAGACAGGCAGGATCGCGAAACTCGTCAGCGATCTTGAAAATGAACCCGAGTTGCCTGTTAGCTTTCGCAACGATGCCCGAGTAATGAAGTTTGAATGTTAAGGCGCAGTCTAGCGTGATTCCTAGGTCACGAACATTGTCCACACGTTGCAGAAGTTGGTGATTTATCGTATAGTTGAATGCCACTGGTTTCAGCTTGTGATGAAATGAGATAATATTACTTTTTTGTACATTCAACATGAGATAGTTTCTTGAGCACGACTCTTCGAAAGTATCGATTAGGTGCTGAAGCCGCAAGCAATCGGCGAAGCTACGAACAATCACATAGATCTTCACATCATCCGTGTAGAATAATCGGCTACCAGTTGGGAGGATCAGTCCGGCCTCATTCACAAAAATCGAGAATAGCAATGGTCCCAAGTTGCTACCTTGAGGAACACCGGAGCTGTTTGTAAAATAGTCCGATTGCTCTGATCCGATTCTAACACAAAGTTCCCGATTGGTCAGATAGGACTTGAACCAACGAGTTAAACTCGAGGATACACCGAGTTTTTCAAGTTTAGCTAGCAGTATGAAGTGGTCAACCCGGTCGAATGCAGCCTTAAGATCTGTATATACAACGTCCACGTGCGCTCCAGCTTCCATACTCCGAAGACATACAGAAATAAACAGAGCTAGATTTGTTGAAACTGATCTCTTGGGACAAAAACCGTGTTGGTCAGGAGAAATGTAATTTCTGCAGCTAGAGAATAATGCGTCGTTGATGATGATTCCGAAAACTTTACAGCAGGCACTGAGTGATGTGATCCCTTGGTAATTTTCGACGTTTCTCTTGGCTCCTTTCTTGTAGATCGGGAACATGAATGACGATTTCCAACGCGTAGGGAACTCCCCCTGCTGTAATGAAATATTGAACAGCTTCGAAAGCGGTGTTGAAAGCTCTGAACAGCATCGCTTCAGGATGCTTGAGGGGATCCCGACAGGGCCAGCAGCATTAGAAAATTTCAGCTTCTTGATGGCGGATTCGACGAGGTCTACTGTAACCGAGGTAATCGAAAAATTGAAAGCATCACTGGGAGTGTCCCTCACCCTTTCAGCAACTTGGGACAACGAAGCCGTAGTGTTCTTGAAAATGCTTTTGAAATGTTCTGCCAGAAGATTACATTTCTCAAGGGAATTGCTGGCGATGCTATCACCCAGGTGAATTTCGACTGGTAGCGCCTCCTCGTTTCGTTTGGTATTCACGAATGACCAGAACTGCTTTGGATTAAGCCGTAAATTAGCGTGCACACGCCTTGTGTAGCTCTTGTAAAGAATGCGGTTATATGTGCGATATTCGTTGCTCGCTGTTGAAAATAATCGTTTGGCCTTCGATCTCAGACGCTTCAAATTCCGTAGTCGAGCATTGGACCATGCGGGTTTGGGAGAGGGTCTCCTCAGTGGGACAGAATCAGTTATTGCCCGGCCAACGACCTCAGCGAAGGAGTTGACGGCTTCATTAATAGATGAACACGTGTCAAGGAACTGCCAATCTGCCTGGGCAAGCGAGTGACTCAGCGCGACGAAATCTGCTCTACGAAAGTCGAGCTCATATACATCAACAGGGGGGTTATCGTAGCGAACAGGAACAGGTAGGTTGATAGAAACTTCCAACGCAGGATGATTGGTGTCGATGCCAACCAAAGGCTCTGGGGCTTCTAGGATAGAACATTCCAGTCCTGCAGCTTCGTTCGCCAGAACGAGATCAAGCAGCCGAGAGTTGCTATTCAGTATCGAGTTGATTTGCGTTAAGCCATGCAGGTTGAAACCATCAAGGAGAGCACAGCAGGATGCGGGCATGTTCGAGCGAAGAACATCAATGCTAGGAAGATCGTTTGCAGGAACGTTCCATGAGAGCCCAGACTGATTGTAGTCACCAAATACCAGAGCTAGGTCGTTTTGTTCTAGTCGAGAGAACACGGTACCAATCGAAC